GTGCAGCCCTGATACAGCCTACATGTTCACAGCTGTTGACATCGCCTTCTCTGCAACCCAGACCTTTCCACTAGCCTGCTAAGTCACAGCCCTCCATGTCCTCTTAGTGCCTTCACAGAAGCCTGTGGCACAGACAGGACAGGAATCACTCTCCCTCTTTGAGCAAAGAAGAACCCAAGTCACAGAGAGGCTAAGAAACTTGCTCAAGGTCGCACAGCAAGTGAACTGCATAGGCCAGATGAAGCGCAACTAACAGCAGGGGACAGACAGAGCCTTCCCTCCCGGGGACTCTCTCTTGCTTTATGTAACCTGAGTGATGTTTCTATGGAGGCTGAAAGGACACCGGGTGGCAGTGTAATCAGGTGGCTAACCCACAAGTGCACACCGCCAAAACCAATTATTCAAATGAGCTTCCCAGCCAGGTTCCACGGAAGAGGCCAGATGGCTAGGTGTCTGTGGGGGCAGCTCCCCATCTCTGTCCCGCCAGCAGCTGGACAGCATTTCAAAGTTAGAGTTGGTAGCAAGTTTATTTTAATAATTGAATCTACAGTGAAGACAGGCCTCCGAGGAGACAGCAACCCAGAATTAGCAACCAGGATGTCTGGAGGAGCAAAACAAAGTGATAGAGTCAAGAATTCTGTCATTTCCGATCTCAGTGCCTAACCCACGGTTTGGACAGTGTCTGCTCCTGTCCTTCTAAGGCCCCCACTGACCAGCAGAAGGAACCGTGCTCTGTAGTCTGTATTCAAGGCATGGACAGCGTCCTGGATCTTCCTTCTTAGCTTCATCTCCCCCTGTCTATCTTGCCACTTCGCTTCCCTACCCAGCACTTCCCCTCCCCCGCCCTCTCTTCTTGCCTTCCTGGGCAATTTCTAGCACCCTCAGCTGACCTGCTCCCGCTCACATCTGTGCCTGGGGTCCCCCACTTCGACTTAAGAAGTCCTTTAAGTTATTTCTTCCTTCCCTTCTTTTTCCTCCCCCCTTCTCCTACCCCATTTTGTGCAGTGGGGTTCTGAGGTGGGCTCTGCCCTGTGCCAGCCTTCAGGAGGAGGTACTGTGTGAGATGAATCTTGAGGACAAGTGGGGGGTTAGCCAGAGGAGAGATAGCACATGTCAGGAAGCAAAAGAGCACTAATGTCAAGTAACAACAGTGATGATAATAATAATAAACATTAGTTGAACTTCTACAAACCCGCAGACACTGTTCTGAGTGTCTGGCAGCTATGATTTCCACTGGAGATGCAGGGCTGATCATTCACCATATTCCTGCTCCTACTCATCCTACTTCTTCCAATTTCAAAGAAAATACAGGAACCAGAAAGATGGGTCAAATCTCTGCTTTATTATTAATGAAAGCAGGAGCTAGAGGTGTGACTTATACCTGTGCCTAAAATTGACCTTTTTACTTCACCCCAAAATCCATCTTCCCCAATGGCTACAAGTATAACAAGAGTCAATGGGGGGCCCCCCCCGGGGGGAGCCCCATGTGGCAGAGAGGAGACCAGAATGTACTGCCACTGCAGGGGGGTAATACCAGCACTCAGCCTGGCTCTTCCATGACCTTTGGGGGGCCACGGCCACCTCCACAAAAGTTCCTGCTCCAGGGGGCTGAGCAGGGCTGTGACTCTGGGAGCTGCCACCCCACGTCTGCCCAGAACAAGTGGCACCATTTTGTACTTCACCTACACACAAGGGGCACATTTGTAAGTCAACAGCCCGGAGGGACATCTGTGGACAGTTTGCAAAAAGTTACCTTTCATGCTATTCTTCAGTTTCAGTGAGTTTTCCCATTAAAAATAAAGGTGCTTCATCCTCCCTCACACCACATGATGCCCTCTTTAGGTGCTATCCTGTCTCCCAGGACTGATAAGAGAGAACAGAGTGATGGCCAAACACAATTCAGAGCTGGGCACAGCGGGTTCAAGTCCTGCCTCTGGCACTCATCGCTGAGCTACAGACAGGCCACCTAACTTTCTGAGCCGGGCTTTATACAGTTGGGTGGAGGCGCTATTCCGGCACTGAACACTCAGCAGCAGATGGGATCGCTTCAGCCTCTGACCGCCATTGCTTTTCAGGTCCTTGAACAAAACAGACAAAATTCCTGGGGGATAATCTGGGACCCAAACCCAAATCCTCTAGTCTTAAACCCCATGTCCTTCTCCAGCCTCTTTGCCTTTTACAGTTCCTGGTGACGGTCTAAGAAAGGATGTGAGGGAAATGCTTTCAAAGCCCTGGTGGACATGAAGGGGAGTGGGAGTGTTGCAATGGTCCCTTGTTTTTGAGATGAAAGTTGCTGCCCCCTCTCCTCCAGCTCCACCACCACAGAGCCCTTCCCACCTGCTAAGCATTTTGCAGGAGCCGTGAATGACAGATCATCTGGCATTCTGACACTGGTCAATCAATATGGCTGGCAAGTGCCGCAGGCCAAGGGCAATTGAATCTCAACCTCTTAGTGGCATTAAATAAAGCAATATTTATTTTGCTTTTGGTGCAAATGTACTTAATCCAATCCAGCTCGTTGGTAATGGTGAAAAACTGCTCTGTTTGAGGGACAATTGCATGCGCACCCATATATCTCTGTTTGTCAGTGCCACCCTCCAGGAGCACACCCACACTTTTCAGGACAAGATTGATCTGGAGTCACTAAGCTGCCCCTTTCTCTATCCTTTAGAAGAGATGAAAAGGAACTCATAAGAAGGGGAATTAAAATCATTGTTCTCATCCTAGCTGCCATTATTGGAACAAGATGAGGCACAATGCCCTTCAGAAGATGGGGCTATTTATTTGCCATTTGAATGATGTTCTCTGGAACCATTGTGTTTCTGCCATTGGGCAGGGGAGGGAGAGCAGAGTGGCTTATAATCCCTTTCATTCATCAATCACAGTGGCTGGCTCATGGCTGGGGAACTCAAAGGGTCACTGTCAACCAGCCTGCTATCAAAAAGAGCTGGGTTCAAATCCCAACTCCAAATTCAGTGGTTTTCATGAGGCTTTCTCAAGGTCAAATCTCTCTTGGATTGTATCTGCTTATTTATAAATGAAGATAAATAATACCTATATAGCTTAGTCATTGAAGCGTGTAGCATGTAACAGGTGCTTACATTAAAAACTCTTCAAAATTGTTCTCAAGTAATTAGCTAAACCTTGCTTGCAAACCTTCAGGGCATTCATGCATTTTTGCATCTATTCATTTGCTCAGTCATTCAATAGATACACTGAACCTTCGCTACACATGGGTCTATAATAGCTTTGTTGGAGGGGAGGTAAAATGATTCAGACAGAGTTCATGGCCCCGTTAGGCTGTTTGGAAGAAGAAAGAAAAGATACTCAAGAGTATCTCCAACTCAGAAATGATACATTGCACAGTTATCTAAAAATTGGACTTCCATAAATTTTCTAGAATGGTCCTAATGTCAAATACATTGTGTCAGTGGTGCCATAAATAGCCCCATTCATGTCACAACATAGGTCCTGATTTTGAGCTTATGCAGAAGTGTCATCTTAAAAGTAAACAGAATAAAAGAGAACCAAGGAGACAGAGACCCAGGGAGTGTAAACCAGTACTCATGGGAGTGTGAGCCTGGCACCTGGAAAACATCTTATCCATGCACCTATCTTTAGACAACTGATTTGAGATAACAGTTAAGCAGAAAGTGAACTTATAGGAAAGGACTTACAGAATAAAGCAAACGCTGAAAAGTCAGATTTGGAAAACAAAACAGTGCACAGTCTACTCATCTCATCATGAGGGAGGAGCAAGTTCATCCCACCCCAGCCCATTCTGTCCCATCACAAGGGAAGGTTCTGGGCATTCCCCCAACAAATGCCTGCTACATTAGGAGCAGACCTAGCAGAAATACTGATTCCCAGACTGGAGGACAAGCCAGGAGGTCACCCCAGACCACTGCCACCTGGCGTCTACCCAGTCCACTATGGTCTACAAACTTGGCAGTCTAGTCACTCATGCAGGAGAGTGTAAAGCCATAGTAAAGTGTAATGAAACAACAGATGACATTTTTGAGCTGCTGTTGTGTGTCAGAACCTGTGCCCTGGTGAGGTTCTTTAATGTGCACAGGGGGAAGACAGATGAGCAGGTGCTCAGAGGCCTTTTCACTGAGCAGGGGCATCCGTGCAAAGATTCCAAACAAGTAAGAGTGAGCCACTCAGATGCTTGGAGATATGTGAATCTGGGCAGAAGGAATAGCTGATGTAAAGGCTTGAGGTGGGAAGCACATTCCTGTGGGAGTAACAGTGAGGATGTGGGACTCTAGCTCAGAGAAGCAAAGCAAATGGTGGGAGCTGAGATCAGGGAGGTGAGCAGGGCTGGCCCACCAGGGCTTTCCCTTGTGCAGGACTTCGACGATTGCTTTGCATCCACAGGGAGCCCCTTGAGCAGGGAAGGGACACGTTCTGACATATGTTTTAAGGGGGTCACCCGTAATCTTGTGTGGAAATAGGGGGAAGGAGTATGGCAGGAAGGAGGGAGGCAACAAGAAGACCAGGTATGAGACTCTCATAATACTCTGGGCCTTGGCTCAAGCTCAAGGCACTATAGTGGGTTGATAGACGGTGTTGGAGTCTAAATATCTTTTGAAGGTAGGGAAAGTGGATGGGCCCTGGGTGTCAGACCAGGGAGAAAGAATGAGCAAATGAGCACACATGTCTCTGACCTGAGCATTTCTGTTTCCTGTTCTGTGTGTGTGTATGTGTGTGTGTGTGTGTGTGTGTGTCGGGTCTCAGAGCATGACACTAACTTAAGACTCTTCAAAAAATATTTTTGATACCTTCTGTGATTCGGTTTCTTCTTCTGTACAGTGGGAATTTTGATATTAATGACTCAAGTGTGTTGAAAGCAAACTTAATAAATGAATACTATAAGATAAGATGCTCAGGACTTTCTCTGGCAAAGAATAAATGCCTGGCAGGTGACAGAACTGCTTCTCTTCCGGGCTGTATTTTGACAAGTGAGAGCCTTGACCTTGACTTTTGGTCCTGCCTAGGTGCTCTCTAATGGGGTTTGACCTGAATCGCCACTGGCTGGACCCCTCTCCATGGGCTCACCCCACCCTGCATGGAGTGAAACAGCTCATCGTCCAGATGTACAATGACCCCGTGAGTACCAGAGCCGCTCAGTAGCTACGGGTCTCGTGGCTTGACCTGGGAGAGGGAGGTGCAGTGTTGCGCCTGCACTGAGAGCTGCAGCTTGGGACACAGGGTCAGGAGCAGCAAGGACAGGCTGCTGGCCTCGCCTCGCCATTGGGCTGACCCGGCTGCCCTTCCCCACCCCCCACAGATACTGGCTGCAGTTATGCAGGTCTGTGGGCCAGAGGAAGCAAACGTACAGGGACAGACATGCATGTCAGGGCTCTCCACAAAAGAGATATAATTTGAACTCGTGTAAGCAGAATCGCATAAGAAAATGTATTAGAAGAGCATCTAGTATCTCCCGCAATTGGAGACAGTGGACGCCTCCCTCACACACAGGGGAGCACCTGCCCATGCCTCCTGTGAAGTCTCCCAGCAGTACAGCGATTTGTTTTCATTTCCAGCTTCAGTTGCACAAGGACTGAGGTTGGCTTAGCTTGGAAGACATGTCCAGCTTGGACAGGTCAGCTCTGGCCCGAAGGCAAGGCAGCCTTGCCTTGAGAGAACAAGGCAGCATCCCTGGAGCCACGTGGCTGGATGTGGTGGTCGTTGCCAACATGGTCCCAGAAAAGAGGACGTGTTTCTCTGAATTGCTCCCAGAGAAAGTGGGAGAACACTGGGTGTCCCATCAAGATTGCTCACAGGAGCAAGACTTTGTCAGAAATGATGAAAAACAGGGATTTTCTAGCTTAGAGAAAGGAAACAGACTGTGAGCCCGCTTTCTCGGAGGAGTTGTCGGTTAGAACATGATGTGCATCTTCCAAGAAAAAGGGGATAGGTAGGTGTGTGGAGAAATAGAAGTTGTTAATGGTTATAGCTGCCTGGGAATGGCGTGGGCAGGTGAGGTGTGAACTTTGCCTTCCTAAAAGTGTTCACCTTGAAGCTAAATGACACTTCAACATGGTCATAGTAGTGGCTCAATGGTCTGGAAGACACTGCAGGGACATTACATCTGAGTGTCTTCCGACTTTGAAGGCTGTGATTTTATGACCTCCAATTGCCGTCAGATGCTCAGTGGTGATCGCTAAGACAGCAAATTTCCCAGCGCTGGGGTAATTCAGAGGTGCACCAATGTAACTCATTCTCCATCCTCTCTTTGAAGATGCCAATACAAATACCCCAAATTAAAGAGCAACATTTCTATTGACCCCACAGAAATGTGGACTTAAGGCAATCATTGGGCAAGGATTAATGACAATAAATCATTAGGTTCGATGTAGCTGTCTCAATTCAACTCAACTATTACACTGATCCTTCTATGTCAACTCAGCTCCCAGGCCCTTTTGTAGTCCAGCTGCCACGTCAGTGCTTACGTGGGTACAGCCTTAGTCTATCTGCTTTCTCCCCAGTTGCTTCTTCCTTGTCTATAAAAGAAGATCGCAGTTACGCTCGCCAACCTCTTTGTTGCTCAGAACTCTTGATGCCAACATGATTCGTTTTCCTGGCAGAGAGAAGATACATCTGTTTGTGTTGGGGAGTATCTACTGTCCACTGGGTTCTTCCCTGGGCGCCCTTCCCAGGCCTCTGATCCTCTGCAGTTTCCCTGATAGAAACACACCACCTATTTCTTTCAACATTTCTTTCTTAAAAACAACAGTCTACATTTTTTTCCTGATCAGGCTGATAATGGATATTCAATAACAAAACTGTTGTTGTTGAATTGAACATGCAAATTCTGTTATATCAGATGTAATATGGTTTATAGAGGCAAAAATTATTCCTGGAGGTGACTATGAAGTATGATAACAAAAAAGATACGGGGCCAGAGGACCAGAGGACATGATAGAGTGGGAACCACGGAGCAAAGTGGTGTTTTAGATAAAGCCACACCTAAGCTAACTGTGAGGGGTGCCAGGGTAAGAAGTGACAGTGTGGGTTCTGCCCTGAGAAGGGGGTGCACTCAGGAGAGAGTCCTCCAGTGTGTCTGATGTTGGAGGAGTCTGAGGGCCCAGGGCAGAGCAGTTTCGACTGCATGCCCGTGGGGCAGGCACTGAAGGCCTTGTTGCAGGGAAGTGATGGACCCTGACGCAGGCAGAGGGGTCCCTCAGGCTCCCCAAGGAGGAGGTGAATTTAAAGAGTGCCAGGTCAGTGACTGGAGACCATGAGCACCTGCTGCTGTGAGGCCGGGCAGAGACTGGCGTGCCTTGGTGATACTGGCTGGTGGGGGAAGAAGGAGTCCTGCAGGCCCCTGACAGACCCCCTGTCGCTTGGACAGTGGTGTAGATTCTGTGCCCTCCCTGAGCGAGAAACCAGCAGACTCTGAGCATAGGGATGCGCTCCAGGCATCCCGGGCTGACGCTGGGTGGGAGTGCTCTGTCCAGTCTCCAAAGTGCGTCTCCTGGAACGAGCTCTTCTGACAAGAGCCTGCTGTCCTGTGTTAACAGTGGCATTTACTTCAAAGGCTACTTTCCTAGCCTATGCTCACCAAACCCTTCACCCCTCTCAGGGACACTGGATATTAAATTATGATCTTGACAAAGGAGTGTTTAACCTAGAGAACTGCCTTGAATCTCAGATATAAAGTATTTCGTGTCCCACTCCCAAGATAACCCCCAGTGGACAACGGGCGTTTGTTTAGCTATTGTGATGGTCTGTCCCCAGGGGAAAGGTCTAGCGGATTCCTCTCTGAGTCCCTGGAGCCCAGCAGGGCCCTGCCTCTGAGCAGACACTCAGTATAAATGCTGAACAAATGGTGATGCAAACCCAGAGCCTCTGGGTTTTCCTAAGATGCCCTTGATGAAAAGAAGCAGCTGAACCACAGGGACCTATCTCCAAGCTCCCTGCCCCTGGGAATATCCCAGATTCTGCTGCCACCATCACTGCTCCCTCCTTTTCATAAGGCTCTGGTCTGGGGACACAAACCTCTTGAGATCCCCTACAACCTACTGAGATTGTCCTGAACTCCCAAGAGAAAACATGAAAGCAGGTTTCTGATCATCTTCACTAACTTGTGCCATCTCTGGCCTTGGTGCCCACCCATTCCACTGACCACTGGCAGTTCTCTCTGGCCACAAAGGGCTCACCCAGCTTCCAAGCTCCCTGACTTGCACTGTCCAACCTTCTCATTCAGGGGCAACCCTTGCATTTCAGTCCACCCGATGATGGAGCTTCTGTGACTCCAGTTCTACCTCTGCTCTACTTCTCCTTCCAGTTCGAATGCTCTGCCTCTTCCCCAGGTAATTACACAGAAATGGTGGCACCTTTCAGATGAATGCTCACTTCTTACCCCTGGAGGTTAGCTTTGTCCTGGCACACACGCAGAGTGTGACAGAGGCTTCAGATCACACTGTCGGCCACACAAACAGACCCACTCACACACAAGAACACACACAAGGCCTTTCTCTCATACCTACAGCCAGTTGCAAACTTAAAAAGCCAGGCCCATTTATGCATGGGCTTCCTAGCTCCCCCCCACCCCATGAGCATCTAACCCTGTCCTTGGGAGGCATGCCCAGATAATAATTTGATGAGCTAAATGAAAAAGCAGGCATTGTTTTTAAATGCTGTGTTAATGCAGTGTGAATATCCTTTGGGCAAGCTCTGGGCTAACAGAGATTAATGGAGCAAGGTCTGAGCCCAGAAGAGCTCACAGCCTGGTAGGAAGGTCAGACATTCTGAACAATTTTAATCCAAAGCAGACCAAAAGGTATGCTACAATAGAAGGAAAAGAAGTGCTTTGGGAGACAGGACTCAAGATTAGTCCAGTATGATGTGTACGTGTACTGTGGGTATATACAGGAAGATTTTCCAGGAATTTAGACTGGGCTTTGAACAATGGGCAGCACTTCCTCGGGCAGTGATGGTTTAGGGAGGAGAGAGGATACCGGGAGTGGGGAGAGCACATTCTGGACAAAGGTGAGCAATGGAATGGAGGTGGGAGACCTCAACCGCTGGGCAGCTGTGCGGGGCTTATGACAGAGAGCAGGCTGGGGGCAGATGTCAGGAGGATCACAGACAAGGCTGAACACTGGGCCGAGGATCTGGCTTCCTCCGAGGACTCATGGCTCTCTTCTCATTCAAGACAAATTCTTAGGCCCTCTTTTAAATCAGTTTGTAATTGAATTAAATATTGTGACAGTGAAAAAAAAATTGAGGCAATGGAATAAAAGGCAACTTGCCAGGGATAATCCAACACACATTGTCCGTCAGTCTTGGGAATCAGTATGGTCAGCGGAGCGCCATCAAAGATGTTTGCGTAAAACAGGGGGATCAGGGTATCACTTCCACCACTCAGTCCCCCAACATAGAAACCCTAGAGTCATTTGAAATTTAAATCCTTCTGGGCCTCCCTCTCCCCTGCTTAAATCTTCCAAAGCCTCCCTGTACGTCAGGAGACAAAGACCACTGCATGTTAGGCCCTGTGCCCTGTTTCATGCCCAGCACCTGGCACGGAACATGGCACTGTGGAGAATATAGGCTGAATGATGAGTGAACGGATGAGTAAGAACATAGGCTTTAGGAAAAGACTGAGGCTGTGACGTGGGGAGTGGGTCAGAAGGGGTGAGAGGAACCCTTCCGCACTGATGGCAATAGTGCAGGTGAGGACAAACTCTGACTTGGGAGCAGCGAGGGGGGCTGCTAGGAATGACCAGGGGCTGGCTGTGGGAGGTGAGTGGGGCCCCTCCTGCCCTTTCCTTCGCGCCCCCCCCAACCCCTGAGTCCCTCAGTGTCTTGGGGCTGCTTTTTCAGAGAGCGGTTTCTACACTCTGGGGAGATTTCCCCCCCTTTTCCTAGAGGAGAAAGGCCTTCCTCAGCCTGTGTTGCTATAACAACTTGGCTGTAGCTCTTTTAGACAGATCCGTTTCCTTAAATCATTTAAGGAAAATTAGCTGCCATAACAACATGTAGCAGTTTTTAAATAGAACAACAAGGGGTTGGGGTTTTTTCCTTGCTGCCTCCTGTAGTCCTCAAGGTAAGCTGCTCTCTTTCTGTCAAATAAAAAAATAAATAAATAAAAGAAAGTATAA